CCCGCTCTCCTGTGTGAAACAGGCGTGACCCAGTCACTCACACACACACACACTCACACACACACTCACACACACACACACACACACACACACGCACGACATAAGTCCTAGACTGTGAGACAGTGAAGTTAATAAACACACACTAACACTAACATAATACTCGATCACACACGGCTCTGAAAGGATCAGCAGCGTTTCCAGATCGCTTCAATCTCTGATTCTAACAATATGCCTTCACACAGGATGGGAATATGGGCTGCGTTTAATAAATATTCTAGACTGTGTGTCTGTGTCTTCTGTCCATTAGGTTTAGGGTAAATAAAGAATTACTGATAAATAGAATAAAAATATATTATACATATTATATTACACATTAAATATATATATAATAATATAAATAACTATTAATAAGTTAAGTTTATGATTAAGTTGATCATTTTTGTTCTTTTTTATATTTGTATTTAATATTATTTTTATTTCGGTTTTAATTTGAGATATTTTGGTATTTCAATTGACCTATTTTATTTTATAATGATATAAATAATTCTAAATATAATTTTTCTGTATAACATATTATATATAAATATATACTGTATATATATATATATATACTGTGTATAAACTATTAATATTTTCTACAATACATTACTATTGTATAGTATACTTTTCATATAAGTTTTAATTTACTTATGAATAATCATAATGGATATAAAAGTCGTATTTCATATAAAAAACATATAACATGATATAAATAAACATATATCATAATATAAATAATTATTATTATATTTTTCAATATTAAAAATGATTATACATTTTTAATGTGTATATATATATATAGTAATAATAAAGTAATATAGTATATAGTAATAATAAAATATATTGATAGAAAACATTTATATTTTTATAAAATGCTGTTCTTTTTAACTTTATTCATAAAATAATCCTGAAAAAAGTATCACAGGTTTCACACACAAAAAAATATATATATATATAATAAAAATATATATATTAAGCAGCAAAAACTGTTTCCAAAATTGATAATAAATCAGCATATTATACTGATTTCTGAAGATCATGTGACACTGAAGACTGGAGTAATGATGCTGAAAATACAGCTGCGCATCACAGAAATAAATGATATTTTAAAGTACATTAAATTAGAAAACATTTATTTTAAATGGTAATAATATTTTACAATATTACTTTAAAAATCTTACTGATTCCAAACTTTTGAACAGCAGTGTGTGTGTGTGTGTGTGTGTGTGTGTGTGTTATTTTCTTTAAAGGGGAAGTGCATCATTTCTGTGCCACTGCATCATTTGTTTGACAGACTGCCAGAGAAACAGTATGAGGCTGAAGATGAAGATGATGAAGATGATGATGTTAATGTCTTGCTGACGCAGACATCTTACCTGACCCTTTCATGATGTAGTCGACGGCTCGATCGCTGATGGCAGAGTCGCTGGGTTTGATGTCCATGAATGGCTTGTTTCCAATTCCCATCGAAACCATCTCCTGTATCCGCAACTCTAATGATCAAACACACACACACACACACACACACACACACACACACACACACACACACACACACACACACACACACACACACACACACACAATATAAAACCATCAACACAAGCTAGAGTGAATAATGCCACAGGCTTTATTAGCACAGCGTTTCTTCATAAGCAGGTTTATTAAATCTACTGCCAATTAGTTTCAGCTTCTAATAATAACACAGAGACAAAAACGGCCCACAATGCATTGTCATTGAGATCACAGCGCTGAAATGAATTTCTGTTCATACATCTGTCTGTTTTGACTGGTTAGTAACTAATCTTGACTAGCTTTGAATGACAGACAGAGATGTTATTCCTGCAGCGGTGAGACGCACATGACATTTAAAAGAGTTGTGAGCTTTTAGTTTGATTAAACACAATGAAATAAAAAGATGATGTTTTCACAACAAACAAACAGAACCACCATAGTCTGATTCACAAACAAATGACTCTTATGAACCGATTCTTTCTGCTTCACAAAAATATGTCTCTTATGAGCCAATTCTTTCTGATTCACAAACATGATTCACAAACAGACGACTCTTATGAGCAGATTCTTTCTGATTCACAAACATATGACTCATATGAGTCAATTCTTTCTGATTCACAAACATACGACTCTAATGAGCCGATTCTTTCAGATTCGCAAACAAATGACTCTTGAGCCAATTCTTTCTGATTCACAAACATATGACTCTTATGAGCCAATTCTTTCTGATTCACAAACATATGATTCTAATGAGCCGATTCTTTCAGATTCGCAAACAAATGACTCTTGAGCCAATTCTTTCTGATTCACAAACATATGACTCTTATGAGCAGATTCTTTCAGATTCACAAACATATGACTCTTGAGCCAATTCTTTCAGATTTGCAAACAAATGACTCTTATGAGCCAATTCTTTCTGATTCACAAACATATGATTCTAATGAGCCGATTCTTTCAGATTCGCAAACAATTGACTCTTGAGCCATTTCTTTCTGATTCACAAACATATGACTCTTATGAGCAGATTCTTTCAGATTCACAAACATATGACTCTTGAGCCAATTCTTTCAGATTTGCAAACATGTGACTCTTATGAGCCAATTCTTTCAGATTCACAAACATATGACTCTTAAAAAACAATTATTTCTGATTCTCAAACATATGACTCTTATGAGCCGATTCTTTCAGATTCACAACTAAATGACTCTTATGAGCCGATTCTTTTTGATTCTCAAATAAATGACTCTTAAGAAACAATTCTTTCTGATTCTCAAACATATGACTCTTATGAGCCAATTATTTCTGATTCACAAACATATGACTCTAATGAGCCGATTCCTTCAGATTCGCAAACAAATGACTCTTGAGCAGATTCTTTCAGATTCCCAAACATATGACTTCTATGAGCCGATTCTTTCTGATTCCCAAACATATGACTCTTATGAGCCGATTCTTTCAGATTCACAAATAAATGACTCTTATGAGCCGATTCTTTCTGATTCTCAAATAAATAACTCTTATGAAACAATTCTTTCTGATTCACAAACATATGACTCTTATGAAACAATTCTTTCTGATTCACAAACATATGACTCTTAAGAAACAATTCTTTCTGATTCACAAACATATGACTCTTATGAGCCAATTCTTTCTGATTCACAAACATATGACTCTTATGAGCCGATTCTTTCAGATTCACAAACAAATGACTCTTATGAGCCAATTCTTTGCACACAGGGGCGCAGCTAACCAATCACAGTGCACACCGGCCCAGCTAACCAATCACAGCACACAGGGGCCCAGCTAACCAATCACAGTGCACACCGGCCCAGCTAACCAATCACAGCACACAGGGGCCCAGCTAACCAATCACAACACATTTTGTATTTCAGAAGGCGGGCCTGCATTTGATACGGGAACAACCTAGTATGAGAGCCTGTTCTAGTACACACCCAAAACTAAATCAAGACTTTGTAAAAGAGCATAATAGGACCCCTTTAATAAAAATCAAAAAAATAATATTGTTTTGTTTAGTATGTAGTCCTGAAACGGCTCAGATGAACAGTTATTTATTTATTTATATTTGATTAGATTTTTTTATTTAATGCAATGCATTGGGTGCTGCTGTCTCACCTCGGTTTCGTAAGGCTTGTCTCCACAGGATCTTGCCGATGACGGAGGTCCAGGCGTTCTTCACCTCTCCAGAAGCGGCCTGCAGGATGAAGGTGTCCTGTGATTTCCTCCGGCGAAACCAGATCTCGAAGCGCAGCCCGCTGTCTCCCACGCTCTCCGTCATCCCGATCTCAGCCGTCTGAGACGAGAACAAACACTCTTCATCTCACAAAACTCACAGCGGAAACTCTGCAGGCTGACGTCAGACTCGTATCGTGTACCTTGAAGGACTGTTTGTAGATGTAGATGTCGTATCCTCCTTCAATCTTCTTGGTCTTGCTGAAGAGGATGAGATCCTCGAAAAGGAAAACGTGACGCAGGTATTTTTTGCGTCCGCACCAAACGATGAACTCGTCCTGAGAGCGGAGCTGACCCTGCTCCTTCAGATTGACCTGAGAAACACAACACAGTATATATATCAGTTTCTATCAAATCATGTCAACAGATAATCAAACTGATAACATAAGCTAATTCTAATTAACTCTGTATTTTTTTTTTGTGAAATACAATAAAAAATAATTGTATTACAGTAAGATTCATCATTAAAAATAATAGGAACTACGAAAGAGATATGATTTAATGATAAAATGAATAAATAAAACTAACAAAGAAATAAATAAATAAATTAAACTTAAAATAATAATTAATTGTAATTATTTATTTTATTTGCTTTAAATATTAATTATTTATACACCTAAAATTTTAAAATGTATTTCAATAAATACATAAATAATTTCTTATTTAATTATTAAATAGTTATTTATTTTTATTTTTTATATTTATTATTATATTTATTTATTATTTTATTTAAAACAAATAAACAATTCATTTATTTATTTGAATAACATTTATTCAATTAATATTTTAAAAAGCAAATATTTATTTAATTTAATTATGAAATAACTATTTATGTTATTTTCATTAAATTTGAGTTACTCAAATATATAAACAAACACAATTATTTATTTTTGTTGTTTATTAAAATGTATTCAAATTATTATAAATTACTTATTAAAATTAATATTTTTTAAATAAAAATTGTTTTATTTACATTGTTATTTAAATAAATAAATAATACAATTATTTATTTGAATAAAATTTAGTCAAATAAATAATATTTTTTTAAATAATATTTTTAAATAAAACAATTATTTATTTAATTATCAAAATTATTTATTTTATTTACTTTGCATGTTATTTACTCAAACAAACAAACAATTATTTATTTAAATTTAAATTTTTAAATAAAATTATTTATTTGATTTACATTAAATGCAATTTTCTCAAATAAACAAACAAATCCAATTATTTGTTTGAATAAAATGTATTCAAACGCATTATAATAATGATTTTATTTAAAGGAAACTCCGCTTACGTCACATCCCCGGATGGCGTCCATGGCCAGCAGGTCGTTTCCGTGGCGCAGCTGGAACTTGACCATCTCCTCCGCTGTTCTGAGGTCAGTGAGCTCCTGCTCCTGAGACTGACCGCACTCCTTGATCAGATCCTTCAGGAGCAGAGCGTATTTACTCATCCTCTGGATGGGCTTCAGCAGGTACGACGCCAGGTCCATCTTATCGCCCAGCTCTAGCTGCTTGTTCTGCAGAGCACAGGTAACGTTCAGAAACGTCCAGCAGCTCGTGTGAATAACGTCATGGAGGAGAAACACCATTGGTTACCTTGAAAAAATTGTTTCCGTGGCTCGTTAGCAGGGCGTCTGAGCGCGGCTTGTTTTTGCTGTACAGGGCGTACATCCCGAACTGTTCCTCCTAACCGTGGAAAAAACACATTTATATCTCACATAGAGGTGGACACTTTGGACAAAATCTCATAAGATTTTAAGATGTATTTTAACAGCATTTATCGAGAGCAACCAAGAGCAACAAATTGCAACAAGGTTGACAAATTTCTACCATTGCATATTATACGCATTATCATTTAAAAGAGTTTTATTCAAAAAATTATATTTTAAAATGTTTTATTTTATTTAATTATTAAATAACGACAAATTTTATTTACATTAGATGAAAAATTAAATAAATATTATTTATTTGAAGTAAACGTAATATTTTAAAATAATAATAATTTATTTTACTTAATTATTAAACAGTAAATTAATTAATTTAATTATTAATTAATATTTATTTTATTTACATTAAATGTTATTTTTTTTAAATTAAAAATCAATAAAATTATTTATTCAAATAAATTAACAATTAATAAAATTATAATAGTAATTAGTATAATAATAATATAATAATATGTAATAATTATTTAAATAATATTTATTAATTTAATAAGTAATTATAATATATTTAATTTACATTAAATGTTCTTCATTCAAATAAATAAATAAATATCATAATTATCAAAGTTTTTCACCTCAGCAATACTTTTTTTTGTCTTATAGATGATTATATTTTTAAATTATATATTTTTTAAAATAGCTATTTTTTGTAGTTATATACACTATACACATTATTTAAAAAAAAATTGGGGTGAGTAATAAATTAATAAAAATTATAAATTAATTAAACTGATGAAAAGTGACAGAAAAGACACAGTAAATGCAGTTATTTTTCCAATTAAAATAAAGCTTTCCGTTCTTTCATCCAATTTTCTGTTCATCAAAGAATCCCAAATAAAAATGTATGACCATTTCCACAAAAACAAAAACAGTTTTCAACATTGATAATAATCAGCAATGTTTCTTGAGCAGCAAATCCGCATATTAGGATGATTTCTGAAGACACTGAAGACTGGCATAATGATGCTGAAAATTCACAGAAATCAATTACAGTCTAACAGATATCCACATAGAAAACAGTTATTTTAAATTGTAATAATATTTAAAATTTTTACTGTATTTTTGATCAAATAAATGCAGCCACGGTGAGCAGAAGAGACTCCTTTGCTTCATGAACATCCCGTGGACTCACGTGTTTGAGGAAGCAGCTGCTGATGGACAGCGGTGAATGAGCGCAGCTCTCCAGATCCGTCAGGAAATACTGGCTGTGAAAATCACACAGCTTCTCCAGATTCCCAAAAATGATGCTGCGCTTCCCTCGGAGGTCCTGAGGAAGGTCCAGTCGCTCCATCTCAGGGAAGTAGTGCTGGATGATGTAGCTGAGGGATCTCACGTACTCTCTCTCGGTGGAGATCATCTCGTCCATGATGTGCTGGGTTTTACTGAAACGAGCGACAGCAGCGATACATACACGTGCTGACGGAGAATGCATCTCTAGCCATTCAGTTGTTATGAGTTTGCTAATGAGACTTTTTAAAATCAGCTTTAAAATGAAAATTAGCGTGAAGATGTAGAGAAAAAACGTACACAAGACCATATAAAAATCTCATTATTTCAGTCGTCTCAGGCCGCATTTATAGTCTAATACTTTTATTAAATTATTAAAATTGAACAAATCAATAATAGTATCAGTAGTAATACTATACTGTAAAATAAAAAAAATTAGAGTTTATTTATAAAATGAAATAGTTAATAACAGTAAAAATACAAATAATTACTATTATTTATGTTTAATTATCTCTATTATTTACTATTATTACTAATAGTCTTTATTATTATCATTATCATCATCATCATCATTTTTTAAATTAAATTAATTCATTAAATTATACACAAATCTGTCTTTATTATTATTATTATTATTAAATTATAATTATTCATTCAGCAAAATTAAATCAATTTTAATAAAATTAATAAAACTAATATTAGTAGTTTTTCTAAAGTAATAATACTATCATGTAAAATATGACTGAACATTTAATAATGATACAATAAAAATTATATTTTTTGATTATTTCATTTAATAATAATAATAATAATAATAATTTTGTTTTTTTAATGTTATAACATTTAAACAAATCAATAAAGAAATATATTTCTACACTAATAATACTATACTGTAAAATAAAAAAATCAAGTACTTGATAAAATATATTATTAATTTTATTAATTTTTTAAACAGAACAACAGTAGAAATATAAATAAGTACTACTAATATTATTTATGTTTAATTATCTCCATTATTTACTATCATTACCAATATTTAAAGTTGTCTTTTATTTTATTTAATAAAATAACTATTTATTTAATTATAAAAAATTTAACAAATAAATAAAGAAATATATTATAGCATAGTAATAATACGACATTATAAAATAAAAATGAGCATTTCTTAATAATAATAATGTTGATGATAATAATAATAATTGTTATTATTGTTATTATTAGTAGTATTAATAATAATACAAATTTCTGTTTCAGAGAACAACAGTAAAAATACAAATAAATTCATTATTATTTATGTTTGATTTATCATTATTTTTTTATTTCATTATTATTATTTATTACTATTACTAAAATATGTGTCCCTGCAGCACAAAAGCAGTGTTAAGTCGCTGGGGGATATTTGTAGCAATAGCCAACAATACATTGTATGGGTCACAATTATACATTTCTCTTTTATGCCAAAAATCATTAGGATATTAAGTAAAGATCATGTTCCATGAAGATATTTTGTAAATCTCCTACCGTAAATATATCAAAACTTTATATTTGATTAGTAATATGCATTGCTAAGAACTTCATTTGGACAACTTTAAAGATGATTTTCTCAATATTTAGATTTTTTTGCACCCTCAGATTCCAGATTTTCAAATAGTTGTATCTCAGCCAAATATCGTCCGATCCTAACAAACCATACATCAATGGAAAGCTTATTTATTCAGCTTTCATGTGATGTATAAATCTCAATTTTAATAAATTGACACTTGTGACTGGTTTTGTGCTCCAGGGTCACAGATATGTCTGTCTTAATGTTGTTTGCTGAAAGCTGGAGGTTTTGTGCGTCGCTCACCCGCTGTGTCTCTTGACGTCTCCGTCGCTGAGTCTGCACTGAACGCGTGACGGGGACGACATGCTGCGGCTGCGGCCCAGCGCCGGGCTGGTGACGTCTGGCCGCTGCAGCTTCGTCTCCACGCAGACGTTATTGGTGACCTGCAGTCCTCGGATGTAGACGCCGCTGTAGCCGTGAGCTTTGTCCCGCGCCGGCAGCTCGTAGCTCAGGGTCTTCTTCATGATCTTCTTGAGCGGCTGCTTGCGGTGGCGCATCAGGGGCTCAGAGTGGCACGAGGCGGACGAGTCGACGGTGCAGTCGCTGTCGGTGTCCTCAAACACACACGGTGAGAGCATGCCGCTCTCCGGGGGAAAGGGGAACGGGAACTGGCTTCTGGAAAACGGACCTGCTGAATGCGGCTTCTCATCTTCATCCTCAAAACACGACGGTGAAGAAGAGCTCCGAGCGGGAACATCAGAGGAGTCCAGTCCGTTCTGGGTCTCCGAAGGGTTCGGGAACGTCTCTGTGTGCGCAGACGGACACAATCAGAAACAGAAAGAGGGTTATCACACACACACACACACACACACACACATTCACACACACGCACGCACACACACACACACACACACACACACACACACACACACACACACACACACACACCAACACCCACCCAAACACACACACACACACACACACTCCAACAACCCCCCAAACACACACACACACACACACACACACTTCAACAACCACCCAAACACACACACACACACAC